TATATATGTATATATATATAATAATTAATATTAATATATATATATATATGTATATATATATAATAATTAATATTAATATATATATATATATGTATATATATACATATATATATATATATATATATATATATATATATATATGTATATATATATATATATATATATATATATATATATGTATATATATACATATATATATATATATATATTAATATTAATTATTATATATATATACATATATATATATATATATATATACATATATATACATATATATATATATATGTATATATATATATATATATACATATATATATATATATATATATATATATATATATATATATATATATATATATATATATATATATATATATATATATATATATATATATATATACACACACACACACACCATATGGTCTTGTGAAAATTAAATGTTGTTAATACCAACATTTAACCATTAATATCAACATTTAATTTTCACAAGACCATATGGCTTTATTATAATTAAGATAACAATAATAATATGTAGTAATAATTAAAAGAGTTTTTTCTTAAAATGGTCCCTTGACTATCACTTATTCTCAATTTCGCATTTTGACTTTCAATTGTATTCAATGTGGTCCCTTGACTTTTCAAAACTACCCCAAATTAGGGATGGCAATTTCAATCCGACCCGTGGATATCCACCCGAATTCACCCCGCATGGATCGGGTTTTTTTGGGTGATGGTGGGTGGTGGGTCGGGGGTGGGTCTTAAAAAAGCAAACCCGCGGTGGGTCGGGTTGGATTCGGGTTCTATGTACAAGACCCGCCTAGAACCCCACCCGACCCACCATATGTGTGTGTATATATATATAATAGTAAAATAAGTACTAGTATGTAGTTATTTATAAAAGTTTATATAACTTCGTGTATCTTTTTACTATTTTTTATATCAAAACTACTAATTTTATTTTAAAAAATTAACAATTTAGTTATTATATTTAAATATTTCAATTATTTATGTTTTAGTATCACTAATGGATTTTATTTTTTTATTATGTGTAAATAATTTAAATATTATTTTTTAAAAAACATAATAAGATGATAAGTGGTGGGTACCCGTAGTGGGCACCCGCACCCGGTGGGGGTGGGGGTGGGTTCTGAAAAAGTCCACCTGATGCGGGTTGGAGGTGGGGGTGGGTGGAGAAAATATAAGGTGGGTCGGGTGATGGATGTAGCCCTCCCCGACCCACACCCGACCCATTGCTATCCCTACCCCAAATTGATCCTATGTTACTTTTTCCATCAATTGGGTGTTAACATTAGGGGGGCGTTTGGTTCAAGGAATCTTAGATTACCCAAGGTAATAGGATTACCTGCAAGAAGGTAATGTGAGATTTTGAGAATGTAAGATTACCTTATGTGTTTGGTTTAGATTGAGGAATATAATATTACCTTGTTTGGTTAAGGGTTATATTTTAGGTTATATGAATCAATTTACTATAATGTCCTCAATAATATATATATATATATATATATATATATATATATATATATATATATATATATATATATATATATATATATATATATATATATATAGGCTTCGAATCCGGTGCACCCCCCTAATTCGATGAGCCTGTGAAATCTCCTGATATCCATAGATTGATTACCCATCACAGGGCGTTTGGTTGGAGGGATTTTAAATTCCCTTCCCACTTAATTGCCACCTAATTCCAAAGGCCATTAAATTCCGTAGTTTGGTTGGTGGGAATTGCAATTCCATGGAATTGCAATTCCCCCATTTTCATGGAATTAAAATCCCATGTCCCCCCTGGTATTTTAATTCCTGGGAAAAAAAGATAGTGATGAGTCAAAATTACCCCTTCCTTTTTTAACCTAAAATTAATGTCTAACAACAATAATGGACATTTTTGACTTTATACTACTTATTCCCTTTCAATTCCCATGTATACCAAACATTGGAATTGAAATTCCCAGTAATTCTATTCCTATCAACCAAACACTGGAATTTAAATTCCCACTTTATTCCCAGTAATTCAACTCCCATGGAATTACAATTCCTTTCCCACATAATTCCCCCCCTCCAACCAAACGCCATGTCAATGGTTGAGATCATGAGACATCCTAAAATAAATTAAAGATTCATTATTTAGAAAGAGTCTTAATAGTAATTGTACTTGTTTGGCTAATTATGGATACATTTATGTTGGGATGTTAAGCATTAAATGAGGGATATTATTACAGCAATTTGGTTTTGTGATTTTATTCGCACGGCCCTGGAGATAAATATGGCGTCTGACATCTCAATTTTGAAGACGAAAGGGTTGGGCTGCACAAACAATCAACTAGCGCAAAATTGGGATGGCTTTTAAGAGCACAGGTATTTGCATTAGCGCGTTACAGCTTGTGCGTGCTGTTTTTGTTTTTTGTGTTTTTTTTTTTTATGGTATTATTGAATAAAGAATTAATAAACATTTCCATCCAATATAACTGCGATACCTACTGGGGGGCCTAGAAACAGACTCGACTGGTATGGTAATAGTATATGTAAGGAAGTCATTGTCTGGAGTAGACCCATACCCAGACGATCCAACATCCCCAGAAAACACCATATTTTCAAAGAAAGTAACATCAGCTGACACTAAATACCGCCCCAAGTCAGGTGAATAGCACCTATAACCCTTCTGAGTACGCGAGTACCCCAGGAATATACACTTAAGTGATTTAGGATCAAGTTTCTTACGTTGAGGACGAACATCCTGGACAAAACAAGTACACCCAAATATTTTTTGTGGGAGATGAATAAGAGGTTCTGTTAGATACACCAATGAGTAAGGAATTTGACCTTTAAGGACAGATGAAGGCATCCTGTTGATCAGAAAACATGCAGTATGAACAGCATCAGACCAAAAGACCTTGGGCACTTTCATTTGGAATAAAATTGCCCGAGCTACTTCTAACACATGACGGTTCTTCCTTTCTGCCACTCCATTTTGCTGAGGGGTATACACACATGAGGACTGATGAACCATCCCATTTTGGCTCATATAAGTGGAAAAATGTTTAGATACATACTCTTGTGCATTGTCACTCCGCACACACTTAACAATTTTATTAAATTGGGTTTTGATCTCAACACAAAAATTACAAAAAATAGTAAACAACTCATCTCTAGATTTCATAAGGTATAAACACGTACACCTAGAGAAGTCGTCTACAAATGTTACGAAATATCTAAACCCGTTCTTTCCTGTGACATGACAAGGACCCCAGACATCAGAATGAACAAGATCAAATAGAGATTGTACTCTTTTATTGACACGAGGAGGGTAGGAAACCCTGACAATGTTTAGCAAACTCACACGACTCACACTGCAAAGTAGACAATGACTCTAAACCAGGGAAAAGCTTCTTTAGGATCGACAGTGATGGATGACCATACCGACAGTGTAGTTGAAAGGGGGAGGTATCACTCAACATGGCCTTGGACGGAGATGCAGACTGTTCCAAAACATATAGTCCTCCAACTTCCTTCCCCTTACCAATAATCTTCTTCGTTAAAAGATCCTGAAATACACAATAACCCGGGAAAAATGAGACAAAACAATTCAAAGTCCGTGTGATTTGGCTAATGGAAAGCAAATTAAAAGGAAACTTTGGAAGATATAATATAGATGACAGAGGTAATGATGAGGTTGCAACAGCACTGCCTCGACCCAAAACTGGAACAGATGACCCATCCGCCAGAGTAACCATAGCCCCAGGGTTTGATGGAGAATATGAGGAAAAAATTTTAGAATTACCTGTCATATGGTCACTAGCTCCGGAGTCAATGACCCACTGTGTAGATGAAGAAGACACACATGCAATAGGATTACCTGTTTGGACAAAGGTTCCAGAGGAAGGCGGTTTATTGGATGGAAACTGGGGTGGAGACTGCACAAAAGGAGACACCTTCGGTTGATTGAATGCTGCTAACTCCTCATTTGTCATAACCACCATATGTCCTTCAGGCCCAAAGGTTGTGTTAGCAAATCTTTGCTGTCTGGGTGGTTTAGGAAATTGATTCTTGAAATGTCCTGGTTCTCCACAATTGAAACATACCCTTGGTCTTCCACGACCTCCGCCACTGCCCCTTCCTCCACGTCCTCGATGGCGACCACCTCCACCTCGACTATTGTACACTTCATTAGTGTACTTCCCTTGTGACACAAATGTACTTCCTTCGTTATTGCTTCCTTGTGATATAAAAACATTTTTCTCGGGAGGTTCATCAGTACTTACTGATGCATTCTGTATCTGAGAGAATACTTGATCCAATGATCCTAACTCCTTGTTTCCCAACAATTGTGACCTAAGAACCTCATATTCTTTGTCAAGCCCAGAAATCCAGCTAAAGGCAATTAATTGATCACGTTGTGCTTTCATTGTCTTTACATCAGTTGTAATAGGCATCGCAGTACACAAAGCTTCACTTAAACTTTTGAAATCATAATAGTAGTCTCGTAGATCTCGACCCTTTTGATTCGGACGATAGACATCCTGAGACAACTGATACAGTTTCCTCAAATTACTTGACCCACTAAACCATTCAGACACTAGATCCCATACTGCTTTAACCGTGGTACAATGTTGCATTGATAAGATCACTTTCCTATCAATACAATTAATTACCCGGGATAACAAAGCTTTATCATCGGCCTCCCACTCCTTATTATCCGGAGGACAATCTTCATTTAAATGGTCACCTTTACCCATCCCATCTAAATTAATTTTGACTAAAAATTTCCATTCAGCAAAATTAGACTCATCACCAGCCAGAACTACATCAATTAATTTAGATGGAGTAGACACAAGTGTAATACTTTTGTTTTCTGCCATAATATGTAAGTGCCCCAAAAAAAAACTTATTCCAAGTTCACACTCACTGAACTTCCAGTACAGTATTCCAACAATACTCCAAAGGCAAAACAAGGCAAAAAAGGAAACAAAATTACCGCATAGTAGCAGGGCTGACTTCCCTCTTCGCACAGTACCGCACATCAGGTTCCTTCTCTCCCTCGCGAAGGAAACGGACTTGCTCGAAACTTCTTTGTCTCCACTCAGACGGACTCTACTCTTCACGGCGAGCCCACCAGTGAAGCCGCCGTCGAAGATGGTTGCCGGAAAACTCTTCACGCGCCGGCACGTGGGTCGGCGAGCAGGTTGCTCCGGTGGCGCGTGGCGGCGCGTGGCTGCTCCGGTGACGTTGCGACTCGAGCTCCGGCGTCGTCCTCCTACTCTGAGCCAGGCCCACTACCTCACTCTCACCACCCGCTCTGATACCATGTAGAAAACTAAAAGGAAGAAGCTTTGAACACTGACCTTGTTTCTTATTTCTCTATTTTCTGTGTATTTCTTCACTGCTACACCTCAAATATATATACTACAACAATGGACAGTTTATAGACTCTTCACTTCCTAGTCTTTATTTCTATGCCTTTCTATCTTCTATAACTGTTTATCTTTAACAGAATTTAAGTGGAAAGTGTTGTAAGCTCTAAGAAGAAAGTGACTGAGGAATTTTTAAATTTTGGGCTTATTATAAACTTATAAAGCCAAGGTATGAAACTTGTGGTTAAACTTCATATTACTTTGTAGTTTTATTTAAAGAGTTCATTCCAGCTTTAACTCATCAACTATTTCATTTGTACTTCCAATCATCAACTTCAAAATCAATCAAAATTTGGTACCTGAGTTTTTACAACTTGCCACTTTAGTCTTATAGTCAGACACTAAATTTTGTTCTTGTTGGGCTAAAAGTGGCAAGTTTTCAAAGTTGTTAGGTATTTAAATGTAATTGACTTTTGAGGTTGATAACCACAAAAGTGGAAAATCCAATAGGTCATTTATTGTAATTTTGTCCAAAGAGAATTAAGAAGGTTTTCTGATGGGTTGCAATTGAATTTGAACTTCACTTTATCTTTCAGCTTGTAGGTTCCTGGCTGAAGTTAATAAGATCATCGTTGCTGAATCAGTTCTGATCTTTGTTGCTTTTCATGAGTTCATGCACTGGCTAATGTTGATGAAGTTGATAAGCATACCCCAAGTGTTGAAGAAAACTGTGAAGGAAGTGTTGAAAGCTTTGAAGAATCCCATTTTGGGGAGCTCTGCCGATGCCTGTTGTTTCATTCACATTCAACTATGTTGATAGTACTCAATTGTATTTGAAGGTTTTGATTCTTCTCTTGTGATTTCTGCAAACAACATTCAACAGAAGCTCCTGAAAAGGGAAGATCGTAACTTCAAGTTCTTGATCTCAGAACTAAGGTTTTGAAATATCAGTTTTATCTTCTGATTATTGTATGGATTAATTTCTTTTTTTCCTTATTCTCATGTTGTATTATGTTTCTAGGTTGGATTGCCAAATAATCAAAGGGTCTAAAGAAGAAAGTGTTGAATTGCCAAATAATGAAGGGTTTGAAGAAGAAAGTGCTGAACGGCCAAATAATGAGTGGTCTGAAGCAGAGTGTTAAATTGCCAAATAATGAAGTAAATCTTGAATTTTCATCTTATCTGAGTCATGAAGAAGAAAGGCCAAAAGCTTTAAGGAAGAAAGTGATGGATGCTTTGAAGAAGAAAGTAATGAAATGTTTGAGAAGAGAGTGACTGAAGAATTCAAGAAAGCCAAGGTACCTATGGAATATCTACATCAGATTCCTTAATAACGAATTATATCCAGTTTTATTTAAACTTAATATCCTCTGCCACTATTTTTTGGGAAGATGGTTTTGATGCGTGTGGTGTTTTGATGCCTAATCTGGTAAATACTGTAAGATGCTTTTTGCTAACTGTATTTGTAGTCAACAAATATACAAATGATCATTTTCTCGTAAAGCACCTATATCATCCACCTCGGAGCCATTAGCCATAAGAACTTTAGTTCCTTTCTTCCCAAACCTTTTTTCTGCATTCAAGACATAATGTTTCATTGCATAAACCAGTCATTATAATTAAGGATTTGTTGCCTGCAATACTCAAAAGTTCTTGAATTGAATCGGGAAGGTGGACCAGCTTGCCTCTGTGTTCTTCTTCTTTTAGTTCATCATGTGGATGATGCCCGTGCATTATCACTCTTGTCGGAAATGTTCCTGATGATGCAATAGTTGTTTTGTTTCATTCAGGTTATCAAGAAATTAAATAGGACAAGATGGGAGGAATCAAATCCGAACTTCTCAGTAGCTGTAGTGTGTAAAAGTATTCCTCTTAGAGCATTTTTGCTTCCTATTTTGAACGATGTGGCTAGTTAGCTTACTGTTTTCTTGTTGGTTTTGTCCTTCATTGCTTTCTGGTCCCTCAAGTTCAGCAATTATCTGCAGGAGAAAAGAAATCGCCTTAGGAAACGTGTGCATTCCTGTTTGGTTTGGTAGTTAATACGGGTTTTCAACGCTTCCATGTCACTTGATTGCTCTACACATTATTGTTTGGATCTCCCAGGAACTCTGTTACCAAAGGTATCTCTTCCAACTCCTCTTTTCATAGTCCCCTCAAATGCTGAGCACAAGACATTTTGTCGGGATGGTGAGTTGAACAAAAAGAATGACTAAATAACAGTTAGTAGATGGTTATATACAGGAGTGGCCGCAATGATGAAATCTTGTCGCAGTTACCTGACGAAAATTGGAAATAATTTTCTTCCGGTCGTCAGTAAGAGGCTGCAGCAACTGCTTGAAGTGATGATGACTGATGCGGATGACCTGAGAAAGCCTCTTGATTACGAAACATTTTTGACAGGAACTGTTTACTTCAGTTTATGTTAGTGAACAATCCCGTTTGCTTTTGCATATGATTTAACTTCTCTGCTTTCAGAATTTGGAATTGTATCAAATCGAAGCTATAACAACTAACCTGTTCTGTTCCGTTTTTGTACGCTAAAACATCCTGCAGTTGTAAAAGGTTGTAAGGATACTAGGTTGCAGAAGTAGAAGGGAAGCAGAAGAGAAGAACAATACAAACCACTGCACCAGATACAATGACATAGAAATCTGTTGGTATTTCGTTTTGGATAATGATATCAACTTTGGGTGGAAAGTATTCTGCTTTTAGTTCAGATACCTGTGTAACAACCATAAAAACACCTATGTTGTTAATTTTGCAGATCAAGATTTGGAACAAGGATGAAGTCCATTAATGCTGATCTGATGAAGATTGTAAAGAAAACATGTTACCAACTGAAGAATGAAGTCCTTAGATACACCCTTGAAGCTGTAGGTGTTTTCGAGAGTTGAACAAAACAGGTGCTGAGCAATGGCAGATCTTATCGCCTTCGGCAGGTCTTCCAGCACTTGTTGCTGCAACTCTGCTGTCTTAAATTTCAGTGTCATATGAGCCAGCATTTGTTCCTTCAGCCCTTCTGGAAGTCGATTCTTGCTCGCGTATCCTAGTATATTGTTGATGGCATCTCTCTGCACAAAAACATCCAACAATTAGAGCAACACTCCACCATCATGTCCCCACAGGTAGCTCAGTTGGTTCTTAAGTGACAGATTGTGGACAAGAACATAAGATTGAGCCATGTCAGTTGCAAGTGGGGGAGTTTCACCCTCTTGTAGGGTGGCTCCGTTTGGACACCAGGTCTTGGTCCTTTTACCTAATGGATTGCTGAGTCACGGTCGCAGAATCAACGTGATCTCTACCTCCACAATCCTATGCCGGGATGTGGGGACCCTTGGGGTGGGCAAGACTCCACCCACCATTATGCAGGTCGTTGAATCACCAGTAGTTCCGTTGGTTCCTAGGTAGCAAATTGTGGACAAGGATGCAGGATCTAGCCTTGATAGCTGCAAGTGTGGGAGTGGCTCCTTGTAAACATCAAATACTGGTCCTCCCACTTATGGACCGCTGAGTCACTGCGATTTACACCTTCACAAACCTTTGTCAGGGTATGGGGGCCCTTGGGGTGAGGGATTTCGTCTTTTGTGTGGGCAAGGGCAAGACTCCATCATGCAGGAATGGGCTAGTAACATATTTGCAACCATAATTTCTGTGAAGAAAAAGGATAAGTACCGTGGCAAAAGTTCTCACTGCACTATGGACAATGAGATTGGTCATATTTCCAATCAAGTAAGCTATGAGGCCAATGTTGAAGAGCATGTAGAAAATGGTGAAGACCTTCTCTACAGTATTACGGGCACACAGATCTCCATAGCCGACTGTAGTGAGAGTGACAAGGGACCAATACACAGAGTAAACCAAACCACACACTTCTATCTTTGAAATCTTGAACCTTAAATCCAATCCATGTATTGTATGAATCATGGTAGTGTGTTGCAAGCCAGAAGTAGAAGCATCCGGCAGAGTGGACCGCAAATAAATTCACCTCAGATGAGAACTCTCACTGTCAGATTTAAACTTTTAGTTGAGATAAAACACATATTTTAATGTATTGTACATACGCATATTAGCTTGAGGGTTCTCGTCCAGAAGTAGCTAAAGCGAGTGTCCTTCTCTAGTCGGGAGAAGAATACACTGATTTGACGGAGCCGCCATAGTCGAAACAGGTTGAGAAAGCCGAACACCTGACCATGGTGCACTTTGCCGGTGATTAGGCCGTATATGATTTGGAAGGGTATAGTTGAAGCTATATCCATCGGGAAACCCAGACGTGTAACATACCTTCAAGCAACATGAAATATTGCTTTCATGATCATATGTAAAAGTGTGCAAGTTATATTATGCATGACATGTTAATTAGTATGTAGATTCACTTATATGTTGTGCTAAATAAGTCCATTTACTTGGATTAATTAGATCGAGTTTTTCATTTGGAGAATCTGAACAATTTTTTTTTTTTTTTTTTTTTTTGTTATTTTTATGAATTATCGGAAGTGGTCAATAACATCAGCTACCAATAGATTACCTCAAAGCAATTTTGGTGTGATCATCCACAAGCAAATAAGTAGATTTGTCCAAGTATGCTACAAAGAAAGTGAGGATGATATCAACACCAAAGAAAGCATCCACCACTAAGTCAATGGGCTGGAATGACCCCGTTGCCACCTTTCTAAATGTGAGCTCGAATGGGGATGACCATGTAGAGTACACCACTAAGATCACAAGAAATACTTGCCACACTCTACAATCGATTCAAAATTAGATAAATGTGTATAAACAGAGATTTTGAAATTAACAATCCAATTTAGATTAGATTGATTCATTCTATGCTTTTCGGTTGGTTTTTGGATTGACGGGTCTAGCCAAGTTAAAGTACTTGATTTAGTACATAAATATGTCACAATAGAATATTATAAATAAGTCAATTAAATAAGAAAAACTTTCATATAAAATTAAATTTGAAACTTTGTAATTACCCGATTAACTCAATCAATACAAATGGGGTTGCCTCCATTCACATAAATCCCTAGTTGAATGCTTATTACACTCGCAAAAGGGACATCCAATGTGTGATGTGTTTATTACACTCGCAAAAGGGACATTTTTTTTTTTGTCAAGTCATGAGCTGTCCTGAGCAAACCCTAACTATAGGAGGCACCTTTTGTTGGAGATTTATATAGTAATGGAGATTAATATTTCAGATGGACTACCATGAAAAGCTTAAATAATATTTGGTGTTGTGGAGTTATAAATATTATTTTAGTTTGGTAGAAAGTAAGTTGGGAAATATGAATGTTGCGTACAAATTGTTGTGCACAAATCGTTATTCTAACGATGGATTCGGCTGTATCAAGTTTGTTAATTTAACGAATCGGAAGATTCGGGTGAAACGAGTTGATACGTTCTGTTCAATTCGTGCTTAACGAAAGGAAGGTTTCGGATCACGTTGTTGAATTACACGAATCCTTGGATGGTTTTCCTTTCGGCCTTGCCGCATGGTTTTTTCCTTTCGGGCGCATGAAATTAACGAAACAAGTCATTGTACAATCTTTCGTGTTTAACATTTTGAGTGTTGGAAACGAAACAAGTTTGGCCGAATTGTTTGACGATACAAATCAATAGCTTTGGTTTGCTGCATGCAATTTCGTACATATACATATATATTATTTATTTCTTTGTATGGCATGCAGGCTTGCTTACATGCATCAAAGTCATAAATAAATAAATAAATAAATAAATAAATAAATAAATATATATATATATATATATATATATATATATATATATATATATATATTATATGTAATTGTTATTTTCCCATGCTTGATATATCAGATAAGATATATCTTATGGAAGTTAAGTTTTAAATTTAAATAATTAACTTTCATGTAACTTCTCCTAACTGCTATATTTATTTTATATAAATATCTGGAGAAACATCTGAAGAATGCAGAGAAAAAGGAAAATCAACATGCAATTGATGGAGGCAATCAACTTGCAGGAAACTAAGATACTTCACAGGCTTACAGTTCTACAGGAAATTCTCAAACGAAGCAACTTGAGAATTTCATTCATCTTCTTGTATCCCATAAGATTAAATCTTGAACCTTGTTGCTTTTATAGAGGGAGATTTAAAGCTTATAGGAAAGTGATTACACGCCTGAAGATATCAAATGATCCAGTTTTTGTTCCCTGTTGTATTCTGTATTCTTGTTGTATCTCTATTGTATTACAGATTACAAGCACTTTATCCAACAATCTATAAGCTTTAAAGTTTCTAAATCTGTGATCATGGTCTTGTCTCGAAAGTTTTGAAGACAAGATGCCAGGCGTGAAAGAACAGTTTCCAATCACGGAAATATTTCGGAATGAGAATTTCGAATTTGGTGGTAAGGATGACAGAAATCACTTTCTACTGTACAAGAAGGCTTTTCTTGCGATTTTTGCATGTTATTCATGGCATGCTGTGTACATGTTGTACATGTGGATTAAATGCATGTTGTACAGTTTTTGGTTTCATCTTCACTTAAAATCATGGGGCATCAAGTGATGCCAAGATGATTAGTGAGACATGTAAAATGATTTTATTTAAATAAATCATTTTGTTAGTCATGATTTAATTGGCATGAGAAGATTTGTACTTTCCTAGAGTGGGTGTGTGGTTTTTAGCGCATCAAAGGCTGGAAGATATGGACTATCAAGGCAAATACAAGTTACAGGATGAGATTGGTACATTACCTTCTTTATATTTGTCTCGGCCTCGGCAGGTACGTAAGTTTTATTTTACTTACTAGTTATGTTCTGGTTTCTGTCTAGAAGGTATGCATGCGATTCTTTTGAGTTTTTGCATAGCTTGCCAGTACAAGGATATCTTTATGCATGTATATAAATATTTTTATATTGAGACTCTGTCTCGGTTGCATGCATAGTATACAAGATACATGTATAATATGTTGGATCTTGGTGTGCTGTATATTGTCAAATTTGGTGTAGTTTGGTGTTGTAAATATTTCTGGTATCATTTGCATGGATACAGAGTTGCATAATGATAAGATGAAATTATTTTTATTTTTTCATGCATGAAATATTGGTATTTTAGCACACAGATGTTTTTATCCTTGTGAAAGTTTTTGAAATATTATGTTATTAATATTTCTAATAAAGACAGAAATGCCTTCGAAATATTCTAGTATATTTCTAATGAAGGCATGTAGAAAGTTTTATGCATGAAGTATGCATAATGAAATTCATAAAATTTATGAATATCTTTAACATAAAGTTTCTCATTTTGAGAATGTGTTAAAATTCTGAAAGCCAAAAAGTTTACTAGTTTATCTAGTATGAAAATTGACAGTGAAAAGAATTTCAAATTTAATCATGGATTATGATTTAAGTTGGTATGGTTCTTCAGTTTAGAAGAAACATGAAAAGTTAAAAGCTTTAAATGAAAAATGGTTTCTTCTCCAAAGTGAATGGATATTCTTGAATGGAGGAGGTTTATCAGTATATGATTTTTCCAAAGTAGTTGGTATTCCAAATGGAGGAGGTTTAATTTTTTTATTTAAGGAATCACTCACTGTTAATAAGTTCAACATGATGATTGAAATTCTTGGTTATAGAATTTGTAGGATATAAATATTTATTGACTAGGAACCTATTAAGTGGGTTCCGGTATAATCAATTGAATATTTTATTTCACCATTTCATTAATAGAATATTAAAATTCTATCAATCATCATGTTCAGTTGGCTAGTGGATGGGATTGAAAGGAATTTTGATATACTTGAATAAAACCATTAATTATGGTTTAGTATATTTAAT